TTGAGATGACCCATGTTTGATGTGACCCATGTTTGAGATGATCCAGGTTTGATGTGACCCATGTTTGTTATGACCCATGTTTGATATGAGCCATGTTTGAGATGACCCATGTTTGATGTGACCCATGTTTGAGATGATCCAGGTTTGATGTGACCCATGTTTGAGATGACCCATGTTTGATGGGACCCATGTTTCATGTGACCCATGTTTGAGATGATCCATGTTTGATGTGATCCATGTTTGAGATGACCCATGTTTGATGTGACCCATGTTTGAGATGACCCATGTTTGATGTGACCCATGTTTGAGAAGATCCAAGTTTGAGATGACCCATGTTTGAAATGACCCATGTTTGATATGACCCATGTTTGATATGACCCATGTTTGAAATGACCCATGTTTGATATGACCCATGTTTGATATGACCCATGTTTGAGATTACCCGTGTTTAAGATGACCCATGTTTGAGAAGAACCATGTTTGAGATGGCCCATGTTTGATATGACCCATGTTTGATATGACCCATGTTTGAGATTACCCGTGTTTAAGATGACCCATGTTTGAGAAGAACCATGTTTGAGATGGCCCATGTTTGAAATGACCCTTGTTTGATATGACCCATGTTTGAAATTACCCATGTTTGAGATGACCCATGCTTGAGATAACCCGTGTTTGAGATTATCGGTATTGGAGATGATCCACATTTAAAATGACCCATGGTTGTGATGACGCTTGTTTGAAGCGATCCGTGTTTAAAATGACCCATGTTTGAAATGGCCCATGTTTGAGATGACCTATGGTTTAAGATGACCCATTTCGGAGATTATGTGTTTTGTAGATGATCCATATTTGAAATGACACATTATTGTGATGACCAATGTTAACGTAAACCGTATAAATAACCCATGTATGAGATTACCCATGTCTGGGATGACCCATATATGAGATTACACATGTTTTAGATGACCTATGTTCAAAATCTGCACACATTGATTCAGTCTTCGAAATGCACCTTTCTGAATGCGTTCATTGACTTTCATAAACCAAACTGTGAATAGATCAGCTTGGATGTGAAACAATGGAACGTTTTAGAAAGTAATTCATCAGGGGATACATCCATTTGAAAATTGCAAATATTTGCAATAGTCAACAACAACAGCAGTGATACGTCCCTACAACTAACAAAAAAAAAGCTACAAGATAAACTCAAAAAATTAACATTTCCCTTTAAAGCTTGTTTAAAAAATATGTGTAAACAAATGTAAAATACAATTCTTAATTAATTATCTCTACCATTCAGATGAACATAGAATTGTGTAAATGAATGTAAATAAGAATACATTTATCTCAATTGTATCAACCATTCATATTTACAGCTGTTTTTGTAATATTAACTAATTGTTGTTTGAAATTTAGCTTAGCAAGGTATTTTATAAAGTATATTTAAATTATTAAGGTTTAAAAAGGCATTTTGTAGTTGAGTGTAAATTACTGATAACATGACTCACAATTTTCGTTTCAGTCAGATTAACAAAGTATTTTGTAATAGAGTGTACATGAATGTAAAAGCGACTCACATTTTTCTTTAACATCCAGATTTACGAAGTATTTTGAAGTTGACTGTTCCTGACCGTAAATAAAACTCCCAATTCGCTTTACAATTCAGATTTACAAAGTTTGTTGTAGTTGCGTCTAAATGTGTGTATGACTCCCAATTCTCTCTACCATCATCCTGGCTGGCGAGCTGCGACTGTAAAGCTGAGTACACCTCGCTAACCAGTGCGATTGGTAGGGAGATTTACGTCTAGTTGAGCTTTACACTTGTTTGTTTGTTGGTGCGTTAAGTTGAGCTTTACACTAGTTTGTTGATTTGGTGGGAGATGGACGTCTATAGCTTTACACTAGTTTGTTGATTGGAAGGGAGATTTATGTCTAGAATTTTACACTAGTTTGTTGGTTGGTACGTCAAGTTGAGCTTTACACCAGTTTGTTGATTGGTAGGGAGATGGACGTTTAAAGAGTTTCTTCCAGGCATCTCTTCTGAAAAAATTCCACCGCCCCCCCCCCTCCGAACGAAATGAAATTTATATAATTTATATAGAAAATATATACTTTTAACAGTGTCCGCCCCCCCCCCCCGAAGAAAGTCTACCGCCCGCCCGAAAATTTCAAGTGCCCCCCCCCCCCCCGGAGAAATAAGTCTGGAAGAAGCACTGGTTAATACACGGTTAGTTAGCACTTTGTTAACACACAGTTAACACACAGATAGTTAACACATAGGTAACACACAATTTGTTAACACACAATTAGCTAACACACAGCTAGGTAACACAGTTTATTAACAGGAACATTGTATGCAATTAGCTAATACGGTTAAGTGTTAGTTAACACACTGTAAAATGACCGTAATTGCAAATTTGCTTTGATTAACAGTAAGTTAACAAACATTTAGGCAGGATGTTATTTAGCCGTTAGTTAACACAAAGTGTTTTTAACTGTTAACATAAATAACGGTTAACTAGTAAATAACACAAATTTAACGTCTCAATGGTACACGTTCATTTAACACACAATTCGATAACACACCAATTACAAAGTTATTCTACACCTAGTTTACACATTTTTAATTTATCATCTATCTTAATAATCTATTTTTAAAGATGTATTATATTTTCTCAAAACAAGCATGCCCTTAAATATATTCGTGTCTATAAGCTTCTGCTAAATATAATAAGTACCCCCCTCCTCATATTACAACTTTATGCATAAAGTTCATCTGTTTGATTTTAACCATTATCTATAGTAATTTAAAAACTAATGCAGATTTTAACCATGTTTATTAGCTGTTTAATAATAAGTCTGTATTTTAGCCACTGTTATTAGCAGTTTAAAAACAATTCTAAATTTAACCATGAAGTTCAACAGTTACCCAAAAGCCATTTTCTGGTATTTCTACCCGGTGATTTGGTGTTGCTGTAAATTTTCTAGCAACAGCAACACATCGAGTTGAAATAAGAGAAAAATCCTCAACATTGGAGAGTGTGTTAGTCTGAGTTAGTCATATCACATCAAGTACACACGTTTAGTTCTGTTTCCCGGCTACTTCCTATATATCTATAGAAAACGTGCTTATTGATGAATATACCTTGCTTTGTACAATATATTTTTTAATGTGTAACCACACGCATTCTTTCAATATCAATCTTTTAGGTGAAATGAAAAAAGGTTTAGACTATCAGTGTTAACAATATAGCTGAATTATTTTTTCTTAGTTATTTGAGTATAATGCAATTTTAGCACATTATGGGACTCTAACTATACTTATAGCAAATTATAATTGAGTGTATTTTTTCAGATTTTTTCGTTAATTAGTTGAAGCAAAATCAGACTTGTTTCTGTGAATACAATTCGATAACTAAATTTATTCCGATAGAATAATTAAGGCCTAAAAAAGTTCGAATGTATCTGAACTAGATTTTCTTATTACCAGCATTTACCCTTCAAGTTTTTTAACTGAAAGTGGGGAGGGGAAAGGTCGGAAGTTGGATATACATGAAAGTATTTAGACAGCTTCACGTAGCACCAAGTTGCTATATATTTGTGTGAGGTATGAGGCGTACATTGAACGTTCATTTAAGACTCAGGGTCTGACTAATTGAGACAATCGGTGACGATGGGGAGATGGTAGATTATTTTCAAAGATGCGTAAATATGTCTAAGGGAAAACTCTTGTAAAACCAGGGCCATTTGGATGTTTCTTGTTACAACATCTAAACAAATGTATATCAAGGAAACACACGTATTTATGACTAGGGGGAGTTATTAAATGTTACAGTCTAGAGACTAACTACTATATGGGATAAATAGTGATGACCATTTTCTACGACTTCATTACCTAAGATCTCGTGTAAATGTGATATATTACATATGAAAGCTGGTAAAATCCCTTCAGAAAATGGGCGGTCCGTACCTGTATCTGAATATGATTTTTAACTAAGCTCACAGCAGGGGCAAGTAGTCCCTGTATCTGGGAAACCAGGGGCGACCATCCCCAACCCAGCGCGTCCAAAGGTGGTGGATATTGGATCCTCCTGCCTTGTGGCAGGACAGCTGTGAATATTGAATAAACAGCCGCGAACCAAACTGGCGACAGTTCCACAGTTTCATGTAGGAACTGTCAGTGTTGTGTGAATACCATCATCGATGGAACTATACGCCAATCAATTTTTTAATGGACTATATGCAATAAGGTCTTATGTATTTTTTAAACAAATAATCGTCTGTCTTCATAAAACGCAAGGTATTGATAGGTCTTTTATTTGTTTGAAATGCAGATAATTATTTATTGGACTTATTGAAACTCAAAATTTAAAAAAAAAAAAACAACTCGATACCTGTCTTCCTATAATATAAAATTCAATACGTGTGTTAGTTCCATCGATGAACATTTGTTTGTTTGTCCTAACGTGTGTGAGTTGTCTGCAGAACTGGAAGAAATGGAAAGTTTACTGAAAACTATTGGTATAAATGAGAATGAATTGAGAAGTAGATCACACTCCAAAAATAAAATCGAAAAAGTGTACATATCTGTACGTTTTACAAAACAAGACAGTTATTGTGATGCAAGTCAGAGCTATCCTTTTAATCAGTCTTTAGAACGAGATGATCACAATTCTATTTTTAATTACACGTGTGAATTTTCAACCACTTCAACTGTGAATTCTGTAACAATCTTAAACAATATATTTTTTATCTTTTTTTTTTATTTTATTTTATCTTTGAGAACAAATTTAATGATAAGGACAAAATAGAAAAAAAAATTAGACATATTGCATACTACAGTTTTATTTCATCTTTCAAATGTCTTTAAAAACGCATTTTCTCGAGACTCATCTTTGTCGAAAATGCCAACATTTTGTTGGAGTAAAAAACAATTCCCATGGCTAAATCAGAAGTCTTCTGATTTAGCATTGTCGGATTTCGTCTTATGTAAAACCAAATGGAGATTCTTGTCAAGGCTTCTATTCGCTGGCTTAAGTTTTAACCACAATCCTTCAAGATCTCAACAGACAACAGCGTGTGGCATCCATCTTACCATGTAGTACCTCGTTTATCTGATGTTTCGAGCTAGAGTACCAATCGTCTCAAGTCCTGGTTATACTTAGCAAGAGTTACTGCTAGATCACTACTTCTTCTTCTTCGATTGTCAGTCAAGTTTACTGATAGAGCAAAAGTTACTGCTAGACCAAGCCGTTACTATTTCTTTCATTACGATTGTCAGTGAAGTTTACTGACAGAGCGAAAGTTACTGCTAGACCAAGCCGTTACTATTTCTTTCATTACGATTGTCAGTGAAGTTTACTGACAGAGCAAAAGTTACTGCTAGACCAAGCTGTCACTGTTTCCTCCACTACACCAATCAGTCAAGTTTCCTGACAGAGCAGTTACTATTACACCAAACCGTCCCTAACTACTTCCACTAAGAGTAACAGTCAAATACAGTGGCAACATGTTATCATCAACATATATATCGAATATATCGAATGTGCAGCATATTTTCTCTTTACTCAATACACCATTGAGTTGGAACTTTAATCATTTAACCAGTGAAGCATAGCGCCCTATTTAGCAAAGGTCGGCGTCATTATTGGGTGAGTAACGTTTATATTAAATCAAATATACTAGAATTTTAGGTAGGTTTGAACAAAAAAATGACTAAACATGTATATGGTCGGAGTTCGAAAACTATTAGATTGGTGGGGGCCGTTCTTGCTTCTAAATATCTCATATATTTTGGTAACCTAATTCTTATCTGTAGTTGGGTATATTGCTAATCAATATATCCCTTTATGTGTCAGGGTCAAATAAAAATAGGTGAAATCTATTACATCTGGACCACCATGTTTAGGAAAGGAAATTTTTTATTAATATTAGTCATATAACTGTTGGTGGATTCAAATATTGAGTTTCATCGCTTGCCGTTTAACACTCTTGTAGGAAAAACAAAAACGCTTATAATAGATGAATGAAAACAAAAAAGTATTTATATTTACAAAAAACTTAATTAATCTCATTTCAATTTGAACTGTTGCATTGATTTCCCTGTTGGACTTTACCTAATCAGCCTATATCTAAGTCTTTTCCATTTGTAGATAGTAGCTTAAAAATTGCAATGCCTTCTAGTATGCAAGGAAGCGAATTTCTTGAATAAATCTTCATGAGCAAACTGAACCCTGAGGAACATAAAGCACACAAGGCATCCATTGTTTACAAAACATTGTAAGTATCCTTTAATTTTTCCTTTTTTTCTCTGTATTCTGCTTCAGCATTAATGTATTTAAATTTCCCCAAAACGTACATTATGCAGCTCAACGTTACATCTGTGCTTCAAACGTATACTAATTTCTAATGAGTAAGCTAAACACATATTTTGTTCAAGTCTTTTAAAATATGCTACTTGAGGCTAATCTACTAGAACTATTGTTTGTATTGTTTTTATGATCTATGTATAATGTGTCGTATTGTTTATGTTATGTTGGTGTCGGTGAACTGGATAACCAACAACCAATCTTTGAGTGGACAGTAACTTCCAGAGCGTAAAAATAGAGTTACTGTTCAATTTGTAACATTGCCTTATTTTGACAGCAACCCTATTTAAATGCTTGGAAGTGTTTACATCACAATGAGAGCGTCAACACCAGGTATTATATGTTATGTCTTTTGTATGTCAAAGAGTCTGATTGCCATAATGTATGTTTTTTTTTTATAACAGAGAGCTTAATTTAGTTAGCTCATTTAAGAACATACTTATACCCCTAGTAAAAAAAACGTTATATTTACTTTACAAGTTCACTTATATTAGCAAAATTAGAACATAATGAAATGGTATGCTTCAACGAATATTTTCATTTTGTCTTTTATTTTAAATTATTTTTCATCCATTCTAATGTAGATTTAATACATACACATTGTTATGCTTTGTTCTCGGAGTCTATCATGTGTCTTTATTTTGGTAGCTGTGATGATAAGGTGATGTCTATTAACATTAGGCCTACTGCCCTCTCAAACAAGCGAACCCTACACCCACCATACACAGTTGCCTGCCCTTAGTTGTAAATAGGGTTACAGGTTACTGAGTTCAACGACCTGCAGACAACTGTAACACTATTTATAAACTGCGGTGCAATGGTTCATCCAGCCTCTACTACATCAGCACTGCTGATAGTGTATTATTGTGAGGGGTTTCACTAATTGCCAATTTACTTTAATACAAGTCATCATCTCCTACATTGCTTTTCACTTAGCTAAAATCAAAAAAGAAACCTGCTAGAATTGTTTAATTGTACTTTTTTTCATTTAAAACAAAAGATAATAATATGAAAAAGATCAAATCCTAGATCTTACTTAAAAAAAACTAAATTAAACGTACTACTTTATGTGGTTTATTTCTTTCTGCTTCTTTGATAATTTCACTATTCTTCGGTCGAACTTAGTAATGCGATTTCTGTTTTGTCGTATAAACCCTACATAAAAATCGAACTATTTAATGTTTCCCTTATTGAACTCTAAGCATAAATATGTGTCCTTGTCATATAATACCCTAGTAACCGTTTCTCGTATCTTACTTTAGTGAGTTCTATTTCGTTTTTAAAAAAAACATCAATCTTCACTTTGTTTGTTTCTAATGCTTTGATCTGTGTGCACAATGCCCACTTTATATTAGATAGGTGTTTACTATCTAACGCAGTAATCAGATCTAGAGTTCAAACAATGCGTACCTTTCTTCCACACTGTATGTTAATTTTCAACCATTTCTACTCTTATGCCCACTGTGTATTAAATGTGAAGCAATTTCTGCTGTCTGCCCACTGTATTTTAAATAGAGTTGCATGTTACAGTGTATATGAGGATAACCTTGACTGCAGCACTATTTAAACACTGTGGAGCGATACTCGTCAGAGCAGAAATTCATTCTGTAGCAATTTTTTCTTTTTCAAGAGTCTAATTTTTGTACTCAGTCATTTGCCATTAGATGCCAAAATAATATATGCTTGCAAATCTCGAATATTGTTGTCAGTCAGTTCAATTTTTTCAACACTCGCGCCTGTAAGTTGTCATCGATTATAGCTCACGTGTGTTAATCTACTCCATAACGTATATCCCAGTTCATGTGTTAGTCGGTAATGATTAGTCCTATCGCCCAAATTACCAGCTCTTGATGTTATCAGTACTGGTGAGACACATCGGCCCACAATCTCAACTTCTGTGATGGTTCAGTTCCGAGCTGTATTTCCCAGTTCATGTGGTGGTTCATTTCCGAGCTGTATTTCCCAGTTCATGTGGTGGTTCAGTTCCGAGCTGTATTTCCCAGTTAATGTGATGGTTCAGTTCCGAGCTGTATTTCCCAGTACTTGTATTGGTCTACGTGTCTTTGCTGTTAAATCACAAGTATAGTCCGTAGGACAATGCAATTACTTGGAAAATGTTGACAAACGTGAGAACTTCAACCGTTTCACCTATTGCATTGTGTTTGTTGTTGTTTAACGTTAGGTTTTCTAAAAATGCTTCTAATTGTAAAAAGTACTCGCTTATGTGCATTCTACTTTTTGATCCGATTTTATCAGTCAGAAAGCGATTTGCTAAAGTTGATTTTTTTTAAAAATACTTGGAGCCTAAATTGTAGTTTCTTAATGCTGATTTTTCAATTATTTGGAGAAACATCTTGGTTTTCTCACAGAGCATATCATTAAAATATTAACCTACATTTGCCTTTTTTTCTGAATTCCTACCAAGTATTTTGAAAAAAAAAGTCTTTGTTTCTTACATTATCTCCAGCTGAAAATTCCCCTATTCATTGGGTCTTTGAAAGCTGCTCTTGATTTCTTCAGTGTCTGTTTTGATATGCAAGTTCTAGCTTTATGAGGATGGGCTTTGACTGCACTTCAAAATGGACACTTTAGAATATAAACGACTCGAGAGATGGATTTTGTTTTTATTTTATTGGAACTTTTCTTGTGTGGTGTTTTCAATATTAAGCTACATAACTTGCAATTTTCTGTTGCTCATAAGGTTGTTTTAGTTAAGAAACTAAAGTTCAAGTTAATTGGTAAAGCTTAGGCTACTGTCTGTTTGTTTATCATTGGTATGACTTCACTGACTGGTCGTTTTAAAACCTAGGTGATTAAACTATTTGTTAGTTTGTTTTTTTTAGCTAAGTTGGTAAACAAGTTTGTGATTGTATTAATGCTAATGAATTAACAACTTGGTTTCACAAAAAAGAAATGTGTCTTTATTCCGTGGCATTTTTTTACCGTATGTTTGTCTTTTATGTAACTGGATTAGATACTTGTCTTGATTTAGGTGACTTGTCTGCTTTGCGGTTTTATTGATCTACGTGACTTAGCTGTGCGGGGGTCTAGCTAAGCTTGTGGCTCAATACTACCTCAGCAGAATACAGCCTCAAAGATCGTATCGACGGCGTCAACATCTCTGGATTCTGTTTTATTGTGCAGTTGGTTTTTAACTGTGGAAACAAAGTTAATCAACATCACAATATAAGGGAAATCTGAAGATCCCCATCAATCAAATCAAACATTAGCATTAGAAATCGTGTTCATAGTGTATTGTGTAGCAAGTTAAGTTGTCATATTTGTAAGTTGTCATAACTGATAGTCATTAAGGCGTATTATGTTTTGCAACAGAGCATATATATAAAGTTCAATTTTCTGTGTGTAGTAAGGTAATTACATTGTTTTAACAGATAATACAAAAGACAGCTAAGTCATTATCGCAATAGGATAATATACATTGTATATGTTAAGTTTACGAACTGTTTCTGGGACCTGCGGTTTAGGTGTAACTACTTAAACAGTTTGTGCCAGCCTAGGGCTTCTAGCATTGCCTCATCGTGACATTGTCAGCACCCTAGTCTACAACCAGGTGGTGTGTGATGGAATCTGTGGTGCAGATTTACAGGTTGATCGGTTAGAAACGTTCAACTACAACCTGCGAATGTGTGCCACAAATTTCATTCGAGTCCTACTCCTTGCGCAGCTACAGATTGGCTACGAAGCTACAACAATCCCACATTTAACGTCGATCTCAAAGTATTCACAAGCATAAAGTTTTTTGTTAATCTGACAGCTTTAATTCTTCAATTTATATAGGTTAAGATGATTTTTGTATGTGCTTTCCTTTGGTACAACTTTATGTAAGGTTGCTGTTTTCTTCTATAGCATGTGTCTAAGTAAATTCCATTTAGTAGCACTCTGAAGTTACAATACGCTGTAAATTTTTATTCTTAAACTTTGTTAAAATGTTTGTACTATTCTACTTGAGTGTGTTTGCTATTGGAATGTTTATATTCCTTAACAGTTTAAAGACATTCGAAATAATTTCTGCAGCTAAATTTTTATTATTCAGCTTATCAATCTTCTGCACGTATTGCCAATTCAAACACTTGCAGTTTCATTCATTCGAAATACTATAAAAAGTGAATCGTGCATCGACATGGAATTCCTTCTCGGGGCTTGCATAGTACGACTTCTTAAGCGTGGTAAAAAGAGCAAGGAAGCAGCATTATGCAAGTTCCTGGAGGGCAGATTTCAACTTGGTGAAGAAGTGAAGCATTCTTGATTTAACTAGCGAAATGTTTTTGGATTTGCGTTTGGATTTAAGTTGTTGTTAAAAGTTATCGTTTGTTATTGATAAGGTGGTATATTTTGATGCTGTTTGGGGCATACTATTTGTCGTTCATGGAATACATGTTATGCATCCAATTTGTTAATAGGTTCACCTGTTTTGTTTTTTAGAGAAATTGTGTGGTAGTTTAAGCTTACATATTGGCCAAGTCTTTCTTTCATATTAACTACAAGTTTTATAATTTAACTGTTGATAAATAGTTCAGTAAACTACTGACCAATGTTCTTCTGTAGGCAAAATGATCAAATTATTTCTTAATATCATTTTTTTTTTTGTTTTCTGACTAAATGGATTCATTTCAACATGTAAATAACCTGCGTGATTTTGTGAGTTGTCGTGTCCTACTTGTGGAAGTTCGAGTACTCATTTAACAACAAAACTCCAACATATTCTTTCAACGTAACCATTCTATGTGTAACTTCAGTAGGGTATGGGACTGCATCAAACCTGGATAGGACACATCTGATAGTATTATTCTGTTACTGTCTTCCCAAATTTGCCTGTAATCTACAGTATTTGGTTATATTTGTCTTTTGGGGAATCGCGCCACTCTTGCATTACCTAAAATATTAAAGCTTCCATTTTATTTAATCCCGGTATATATCTTATAACCCTAATGTATGTAGTAAAGATATAGATCCCCAGTGTATATATTGACAAGTTTAGACGTTTATGATTATTCTATCACAGCCAACAGACCAACGAGAAGACGTCCAAATGTCTGATTATGTCTAAGCAGGGTCGCTGTGAGCAGATAGCGATGGGTTTAGATGTAACTAGACAGTTGAGACATTTGAATCCATGTCTGTAGTTGAGACACTTGAATCCATGGCTGCAGTTGAGACAATTGAATCCATGTTCGTAGTTGAGATACTAAAATTCATGTTTGTTGTTTAGCTACTTAAATTTATGTTTGTAGTCGAGATACTTAAATTCATGTTTGTAGTTGAGATATTTACATTCATGTTTATTATTGAAATACTTAAAATACATGTCTGTAGTTGAGACAGTAAAATTCCTTTTTGTAGTTGAGATACTAAAAATCTATGTCTGTATTTGGGACAATAGAATTCAGTTCTGTAGTTTTCCAGCAAAATTTGCAGTCAAATATAGTCAAATATAAACTAACGTTCACAAAACCGAGTATGACAAATATTGGTTAAAAATGTTCGTACAACCACTTCACAACACGTAATCATCCCCAACATCCACAACACATCCACACCCAAACTGCAACCACCCACACTTCTCTACACAACTGCCACGCCCCACACACCATTACCAGCTACTATCAACCCACACAAACTCTGTTTTTAGCTAAATGCTTTTTAACTTTAAAAACTATGACAGTTGAAATAACCGCAAACAACGCAGGACTAGCAACCATTACTTTTATAGCGTAGGACTAGCAACCATTACTTTTATAGCGTAGGACTAGCAACCATTACTTTTATCGCGTAGGACTAGCAACCATTACTTTTATAGGGTAGGACTACGAGCCGTTACTTTTTAAATGAAAGCTTAACAGGCCTTCGTTAACTGTGGATAGATTCGTTAGGAAGGCACGTTATTGCTTATCTTTTTAAAGTACATCATCTGTTTTATGATTATTTGATGCAGCGTAGGAAATATTTTTCGGTGAAAAAATATTTAATAATGAATTAAATAAAAGCTAGTAGTCTGTGTTCATGTGAGTCAGTAAAATCTGTGTTGATATTTTGTTAATGCCTACTTTTATGTTTATTTATTTCTAACCGTTTATTTTTAATTTTTTGTTGATTAACTTAAATTTAGTGTGTAGAAATTCGATTCATAGACCTGACAAAAATACAATTTGTGTTTAGATTTTCCGAGTTTCAATCATAGGAAAAACGTAGTATTAAACCTTGAAAAAATTCGAAAAGTTTTTTAAGTGTTTGTGTAGAATTCCACCTTCAAGATGTCATCGATTTCTCTTGGAATGGACTTTAGCACAAGCTCTTACTAAATCAAACGTCAGATCGTTAATTAATAGCATTACATACTACACTTTTTGATAAGTTCCATTTTCATTTTTGTAAAATACTAGCCTGATTATTTAATTAATAACTATTAATCTAAGCAATTTTTGACAGCAACATTGCTTTTTATATGAATATCTAAAGCTACTAACTATAATGCCAGAAAATTGCATTGTGTGTGTAATCAAGTCCTTGAGCTTTTAATGCAAAGAAAAAGTAAGTAGAAACCTATAGTTTTTCAAAACTGTTGCTACTGTGAACACACATCGGAAACTAGACTGAACAGGAAGACGAGTAACGATGTTATCGGTGTGTCAGTACCCGTTTAAATGTTGTTACTGTAAGCTGACCAGTAACAAATATTCTAGCGGGTATGGACACAAACGATTGCTCACAACCTTGCAGAAATCATCTTCGCACAATTAATCTGCATTACAGTAAATAAAGTAATGCAACATTTACATTTTATCATATATATATATATATATATATATATATATATATATATATATATATATATATATATATATATATATATATATATATAATACTTATATTTATTTGCATTAGTGGACTGTTAGCTATTGCGATGCACTCTTTCTATATTGACGTTATATTTGCACAGTAAAATAATCTGGTTACGTTTGTTAAAAAATATTTGGAAAACATTTCATCTTTTATATTTTAATCGTTTCCCAAACATAGAATATATTTAATAAATTATTTACGTTCATTAGTGTAAGCAGGGGTCTCCAAACTACGGCCCCCGGGCCGGATGCGGCCCGCGAGGTCCTCTCATCCGGCCCGCGGAGATCTCTTTGTCCACGGAAAAAAACGTTTGTTGAAGTTGGCTGAGGAACTTGCTCTGAAAGTCACGACATGCCTGGAAGAAACTGGCCCCCGAACTGAAATTTGATAGTTAATGTGGCCCTCGGACTGAAAAGTTTGGAGACCCCTGGTGTAAACTGATAAATTCTCCACCAAAGCTGAGACTGTTAAAATATTTTTTTTAATTCATATGTTAGTCTTCCTCTAGTTTGATTTTCATTTTTGGTAAAAACAAAATCCTGTCTCGTTACGTAGAAAAATAATGTAAAGAACATTCGGTGCTTTGTAAGCGGTCATCGCAGTTTCGAAATGCGGCTACATTAACAAAGCACTGTGTGTTCTTTGTGTTATAACTATGGCTACCGACGGACACAGTAACTAGTAGAACATGTTTTTAAGAGTAATAAGGTTTTTTTTTTATCATTACAATTCTTGTTTTGATAACCAAGCAATTAAATTATTTTGAACTTTCAGACTACTTATACACAGTCACGTATATTGGTAAACATTATTATAGTAATTATGATTCGTTTCAGTAAGCAGTGGCTCCAAACAATAATTATTTCTTTTATATTTCCATTTCATATCAAAGATAGCATACACAACCTATCATATACACGTTTTACTGCATCTACAAATCATTGTATTATTTTATGTTTAATGTCGATTATATCTAGACCTACCCTTTACATTTTTAGAAATTAAACACTTCTTAAATTGAATCAAAAATTACAATCAACATTTACGTATAAATCTATTCTCCCAACAAGCTCAATTTATTTTTACAAAGCGATATTTCCCCATTTCAGTGTCAATAAAATCAATATGTAATTTGACAACGGTAGAGGAAATCTTAGAGTAGCAGAAGAAGTGGACTGGCAGTACTTTTCTAAGGTGTAATAACCAACCCGCTTTCTTGATGACCCTGATTGAAAGACGGATCGCTACATACTGATCGATTTAAAGTGCATCTGAACTCTGAATTTCAGCCTGAGGAACCTAAAGAGAATGAGTATTATGAAGCTTTAATTTCAGTTAAAATAAATAAATAAAAATAAATATAATCTACATTATTTAATTATGTTATAAAAAATGTAGTAAATTGTAAAACCTAGGAGTTAGATATGTGTTTTAAATTTGTGAACTGTGTTTTATCTAGATAGTTTCTCAAATTACGTTTTTACTTTTTTAATATTACATTTTAAAAGAATAACTAATTTCCGTCTCGATTCATCTTACTGAAACTAATTTGGTATACATGAATCAAAACTAACGTGTCCGTAAACTTATTTCGAGCGGTGAATTTCTTCGAATGTCTAAACATGAAGTATTCACCCAACTCGCAATGGCTGCTAGCTGTACTTTGCTTTTAAAAACCTATTCTATTGTTTTATAATTTTGGAGAATGGGTTAATTTAATATTTAGTATTAATACATTTTCCGTTTTTTAAAATATTACTAAAAAGGCAAATATTTTACTAAACAGCTTTGTTCTAATGTAAAGTCAATTATTTTTATTTTGCACAAAAACTAATTTTCAGAAAGCTTGCTGTTTTTTTGTGAATGAAAATTGGGTGTGATAGATAGTACGCTTGCTAATATTTTGCTTCGATTTTTTACATATTTTCTCTATTTATTCATGTGAGATATCACATGTCAATTACGCAGCCAATAAATAAATAAACAAGTATTTTTTAAAATTAATATACATATATATATATATTTATATACGGTATAAATGTTCAGAACGTAGGTTTTGATGACCTTATTGGAAATAAGCATTTACATTATTTTGTAGCCGTCACGATTAAAAAACAAGGGGTAAAATTTTAAATTCAATATTTTCTTGAAACCGTTTTATTTGAACATACAAATTAACATCTAGTTTACAAATAAAAATTACCTAACTTTTAGCTTTATCTACTCCGTGTTTAGAGTCACCACGTGATACGTGTTATTTTAATGGACGCATAATTTGAAAAGATACTTTTGCTTTGAATGTTTTTTTTTATATTCTCTTCATGTGAGGTATCACGTGTAAAGCAGGCAGCATGTTTATTTTATTGAATCAGTTTGTCTTCTAACATTATATATACAGTATATGTGTAAAGAATGCACCTACTGATTCGCTGTAGTAAGCTTTTATTTAAATTTTAACAACTAATGTTACTTTATTTTTTAATATTCTCTTCATGTGAGGTATCACATGTCAACTAGCAGGCAGTAAATAAATAAACAAGTATTTTTTTATTAATATATCTATTTATATACGGTATAAATATTCAGAATGTAGATTTTGATGATCCTATTTGAAATAAACACTTACATTATATTGTAGCCATCAACCTAGACTTATTTTTCGTGCGTCACGATTAAAAAACAAGGGGTAACATTTTAAATTCAATACTTTCTTGAAACCGTTTTATTTGAACATACAAATTAACATCTAGTTTACAAAAAAAAATTACATAATTTTTAGCTTTATCTACTCCGTGCTTAGAGTCACCACATCATATGTGTATATTGAATGGGCGCATAATATGAATAATTACTTTTGCTTTGAATGTTTTTTTTTTTAATATTCTCTTCATGTGAGGTATCACATGTCAGTTACGCGGTAAGCTAATAACTATTTTGTATCAATATATCTATTTATATACGCTATAAATGTTCAGAATGTAGTTTTTGGTGACCTCATTGGAAATATGCATGTACATTATATTGTTGCAATCAACTTTGATTGATTTATTCGTGCGTCAATATTAAAAAACAAGGAGTAACATATTAAATTCAATATTTTATTGAAACCGTTTTATTAAAACATACAAATTAACATCTAGTTTACAAATAAAAATGAAATATTTATCAGCTTTATGTACTCCATGTTTAGAGTCTCCAAATCATGCGTATACTTTGAACGGACGTACAAGTTGTATAGTTACTTTTGCTTTGAATTGTTTAATATTCACTTCATGTGAAGTATAACGTGTGAGGCAGACAGAATGTTTCTATTGAAATAAGTCAGCTTAACTTCTACCATAATATATATTTGTATATATGTCGAGAATGTAATTACTGATTCCCTATAGTGATTTTAGATTTACATTGTAACAATTAATGTTATATCATTTTTAAAGCGTTACTACTATTAAAATTAAATACATTTTTAAATTCAATATTTTTGACAACTAATATAAATTTTACATATCTAAACAATTGAACCAGTATAAATTAAACATTTAATTTAAAAAATGCATTCTACTTTTAATAGATTTTTTGTTAAACATTGAAACATTAAAAAAAAATATTTTCTATAAAAACACTAAAATAACTGCATTAAAAATATCTGTATTATTCATTTTTTTTAAATTATAAATATGTAACCAAAATTTTTAGAAGATATAGAGAAATTGAACTGTCAGATCAATGAAATGAATATTTTTATACGCTTATTTTAATGTTATAAAAACTTTTTAAATTGCTTATGTAAATCATTTGCCCACCCTCTCTCTTATCTGTGGTGGGAAAGCTTCAAAGTGTCAGTAAATAATGACATAACTTTTTCCTTATATTTTTGCCATCGCTCGGTTAATAACATGTCTTTCTTTTGTAAACTGTAGGCCCAATATAATAAAACGTATATTTTATTTGTTAAGAGTGAATTTTTATGTTATTGAATTTGGGCTTTTAAACTAAAATGTTTTGTGTTGCTTATTAGCAGGTTTATTTAAACTGTTAAGAGTTTAAATATTTGCCATCTCCTACGCCCCTTATAAATGTTCACTCATTTTCAACAACAGCTAAAATTCTTTATTGATACTTTTTTTTTTTTAAATTTACCTTTTTTTTTTAAATTTGAAACAAATCAAGGGTCAAATTCTTTTACTAGTTTAGAAAAAGTTTTTTTCTTCATTATTATATCTTTAGCAACTATTCCTACAAAATAATTGGTTCCATTTCTTCAGTTAAGAAATATTTTAGTAGGTCAGATGTATTTGGTTTAACGGTTAGTTTACTAGAATTGTAATATCGGGTTACATCATTGTAACAACTAAATATTGAATGACTTTAAGTTATGAAATAATTTTCTTTTTTTATTATTTATTTTGTTTTGAATTCTAAAATAACTTTTTAACTTAAAAAAGCGAATAGTAAGCAAAAATGCGTCATAAAGCAGGAAAATCCAATCATTATAAATTATAAATTAAATTGTAATAATTAGCTATGCTTTTACGCATTTTGAAAAAAAAAATTATATAATCTTAGCTTGTTCATGTTTCCATCTACTTTGCTCTTGTTCTGCTAACAAGTCTTTCAAATATAAAACATTTTTAATGTTTAGCTGTGATTATTGTGTTATTTTCACAATAGAATATTAGATGCTAATATACCTCATCATTTTATGCTAGATTGTATGTATTCTTACTGCTTTGGTAGTTAACAAAAACCTGTATTAGCCAACCACACCTCGACTAATAGTATCAGATGACATACTATGAAGCCCAGTGACGACGAACGCACGTAGAGCACCATAAAGAACTTTTTTTTTTAAATCTATTAATTTTTAAATATTTTTTTTTATTATCTGCTATTTTGCAAGTTATTCGTCATAAGTTTAAAACTAAATGTAGCAAAAGGGAAACTAATAGCATCTCAAAAAAGGAAATATAATCCAATGAAATTAAGTTACTATTAATAATAACTAATGATAACTATCCAAATATCCAAAAACACAAAAATTGCATGTGATGGGATGTATAATTTTAAAAGTTACAAATCTTAATGGAATTAAAGATTAGACAAGATCAAGTATTACAAACTACAGTACTACACACATAACAAGGAAGATCAACAAACCTTAATGTAGATAACTATTAGACAAGATCAACTTTGAAAAATGTTAGTAATACATAGATAACAGCAAAGATCAATGGCAATAACAAAAAAACGAAGTGTGTGATTCAATCATTCAGGAACCACAGGTAACTGAAGAACAGTTTGTCTGTTTCTCTACTATCGGTATGTGGAGTAATAGTGCGGTTAGCACTATGCACAGCCCAGTCAGGTACCCATTAGAGCTGAATGGACTCAAGGACCTCTTTGAAATCGAACCGACGTACATTATTCAAAATAGTGTGGTTTGGTATCCCAACATTCAATCGCTTGAACACTGTATCCCTTCTTTAGCTGTATATTTCTAATGTTTTGTTTTCGATAATACAAGTTATATTTATGTTTACTGGCATGTTTACGAGTTTTGAAGGCTCTAAAAAAAGTTTATATGTAAGGATATCGAGTTTTTTGGAGTAACAAATTGATTGTATTTATACTGTAATAATGAAATGATGTGATATATTCATTTTGGTAGCCAGAATTTGTTATGCTATTTTTTAAAATTATTATTTAAGTCATTTAAAATCTTTTATTTTAAATTAGTATTTATAAAATATTTCCGTTTTATTTTTGCTTTATAAATAAAAATATAACATTAAATTGTTTGCCACGCTTATTCTTAATGAAATCATATATACTGGCGTAACTTTAAATCTTTAATGAATAATGTGTTTTTTACATAATCATATTTAATTTATTTATTTCCTCGCTTAATCGTGACAAAATTCAATATTATATATATATATATATATATATATATATATATATATATATATATATATATATATATATATATATTACAAGCGTTGCTCAATAGCTTAATAGCTTAAAATCTTTAAAACAATGTATAGTCCGACGAAATGAAATAAAAAATAAAAAGTGAAGGTTTTAGGATTTAAAAATAGTAAATTAAAACAATTGTAGAATACATAATAGACTAATAGCATAAAATAACATTAAATGAATCAATAAATATACTAAGTAATACACAAAATATATTACAAAATAATAATATAAAATAAAAAACAATTATTAAAACGCTAATCTATAAATCAGGTAGAAAACTAATATGCTGAGTAGGCCCACTTATAAAATACTTCGAAGATGTTTTTGAAAACGATAAAGGAAACATCGCGTACTGGAAAAAAAATGTTTTTTTTGTGCTCAATCATGTATACAAGAAATCATGTCTAGCGTTTGATTTTACTAGGTTTATTCTTTGTAAAACGTCTGTCATCCTTACACTTTCAAAAACAAATAGTATTTTCATCGAGACGACATAAATACTCTCCTATTTTAACTGTTGTACACAACTAAAAATGTGTAATCGTTCAATATGGCTCAACACAAATATTTGAAATTTTAGCCCACTCTCGAAAGAATAAAAATGAATGTACAATTTCCTATTATACAGCTTTTATAATGATTTAATTTTTTTTTTTAAATAGCTAGTGTAGACAGGCAGAAAATCTGAAAGCGTATGAAAAACTAGGAAGTCTCATATAAATTAAACTGAATTATTCAACAACTCCGAATGCCATTCTATATGTATAATATAGTATACGAGCCGACCCGCGGCATATCATACGCCGCTATTTAGTTGTTGTTTTTTCTATTTTTTAGTAATTCATAATTTGTGAATTCGACACTACCAACGCTGCCACTGAAAATATTTCTTTAAAACACTATAAGTAGCTCGTTAAGGACGATACCCCCCCCCTCCTTCCCCCCCCCCCTCCGTTAAAGTAAACTCCACTTAGTTACCCCCTCCCCCCTACGTTTAAAATCGTTTCAAATTAAATTATCTGCCCCTAATAGTCGTCACTAAACCCGGCTTTGCTTGAAAACATTTAGCGTGAACCACAGCTCACCAGACTATGTAGGGGTGGGGGTGGTAGGGAGCACGCTTACAGCTTGTTTTTCTAGCGTCTCCCAGAAGAGAATTATATATATATATATATATATATATATATATATATATATATATATATATATATATATATATATATTGTCTTGGAACGTGATTTCATTATTGCGCCGCTTCTATATCAAGTTTCAAAGCAAAATACAAAGTAAACAGAAAAGTTTGATTCTCAAAATCTAACTGGAACACAGACTTTGTGTTCATTATCCTTTAAAAGGATAAAATATAATTGAATAGCATAACATAAATTAATAAAAATATCCTTACATTTAAGTACTTTGATTGCTGTGATGTAAAATCATGTGATCGCAGCGTGCTATGGCGTTGCTGATCATAAGTATACTGACAGATATCGCGAGATTTGTTTTGCAAAGATAGTTTAGCGCTAGAAGTAATTAGCTCAAATGATCTAATCACGGGCTATATCGCCCTAATCATTTTGCAGATTTCTATAATACTTTTAGGCATTATGAGAAATCATTCTTGCTTTTTATTTATATAAAAAATTTTTTAATGTTTTTGACTTAGTATCTGTATATATATATATATATATATATATATATATATATATATATATATATATATATATATATATATATATATATATATATATATTGCAATAGGTAATTAGGATCCACTAATATATTTGGTCTTTCACCATACCTTACTTTACAAAATAAAATGTTACACAATGTAACAAAATAGAGTGTTAACAATAAAAACGAGTCGATTTCTTTTGCTGAGAAAACAAATGATCCATAAATACAGATCTTAAAGTTAGTTAACTGCTAGTAAAATGCATTCGTGTTTGTATATCAGGATTGTGTCCCCTATACATTTTATAAGAAATGGACACCAACATTGCGGTAAATTGTTCTACCGTCATACAAATTATGTACGACATTCGATATCAAGTTCTTCAGAGTGCATAAATCAAACTCTAGACCAGGGGTTCCCAACCCTGAACGATTCATATGTGCCCGCCTCTCACTATTCGACAGAGACCAATGAGCATCTTTATGATTGTCTGCTAACAGGATTATCGT